ATTCTTTAGTAGACAGAGGAATTCTAGAGCTCAAAGAAGCAAAGTTCCAGGTATGATCTAATTAACAAAGTGTGACAATTTCTGTACATCACACACTGCGTGAATCTGAAGCATCCGTCAGAACAAATGCATATGAGAAGGTTTTTTTTTTTTTTTTTAATGTGCCCTTTACATTTCTGGGAAACCCAGAATTTGTCTATAGGTTCTTTTTAAAGCTGTTTGAGCCCTGAAGATCATCCTGTCTGCATGGGACAAGGACTTTTAAAAGTGCACCGACTGGAGTCTGCACTAATGTTAATGGTCCTTGCTGTCAATCACAGATGCTGCATATTGACTGGTGGTGGGCAATTCTTCACATGCTCCACTTTAATGTGAACTGAATGAGTGTTTAGTTTGTAATCTCTCACATACACTCTCACACGTGCTAAAATGGACCCAATTCGATTACTAGAGAGGACTAGCAAAGCGCACACATGCTCATATTACAGTCACACACTTGGTCTGACTTGCCCTTTGACCACAAACAGACAAGATTTTCTGTCTCCCACAGCCACTACAAGCTCCACTAAATGATTTAGAAACCATAGGAACAGCTAGTAATAGTAGACAGTGAAATGACCGCAATAAAATATAAATGGGCTCATACAAAGAGAGCACACGGGTGTAAATCAAACCTCTCAGAATACCAAAACAATCCTAATACATCTTGATAGCATAATCACATTTTGCTATTTAATATTTAGTAGAGCAATAGAACTAAATAGGTAATACTAGATTTCTCTAGCCATTCTAAATAAGGAAGTGAATCAGCCAGTGGGACGACAGGATGCCCTTTGGTTGCCATGGTGACAGCAGGTGGGAGGGGAAACTGAAGTCCAAACACCTGATGTTTACGTGTGTGCAAATGAAAGAGCTAGACGTTTGCTGCTGAATAGAGTCCCTTTAGAGACCATTAGAAGTGTTGAGACAGATTAAGTAAAAACAACAACTGGAACTGTCATGACGGCAGTGTTGTTATTGGTAACTAAAAGCTAAAACTAATTAAAACATTTTTTTTTTTTTTAAATTAAGCTGAAATAAAATATAAATATTAGATGAAAACTTAAACTTAAAAAACTTGGTAGCTAATTGAAATAAAATAAGTTTAATAAGTACACTAAACTTCTCAAACTGAAATAAAAAAATACATTACAGCTAAATAGGAATGTTTAAAGCAAACAAAAACTAAATAAAAAAAAGACAAAGCACATAACATTATTAAGATTAAAAATAAATAATACTAAAATTACATTGCAAGACAGGCACAGTGTTGTTTCCTGCTTTCTGTGTTCTGTCTGTGAATAGAAAATTGATCTTTAATATGTCTTTAACTCAAGTCAAGTGCTTTATTTATTTAGCGCTTTTACAATACCGATTGTTTCAAATACGCTTGACAGTGATGACAGGAAAATAATGCAACAAAGTTTGTTTTGGCTGTAGAAGATCTAGAAGAAAATAGTGTCATACAGCCGCTCTGGAGAAAACAGTGATGTCATCGTCCAGCTCAGTTCAGTTCTCATACAATGGTGTCAATGCATGCTGATTATGACATAATTTTGTTGAATATTAAGTGTCCCCGACTAAGCAAGCCACACTTACTAAAACTTACTAAAATTTTGAATGTTATTGTTTACAAATATCCACTCTGATATTCCTTGTATATGCAATTTACCAAAAACATGAAATAGCTACTGTCAGAACCCAAAACAATCCACAAATTGGCAATCATGTGTTACCACGGTAATCAATCAAGTCAGCACTACTTTAGGGGGGCTTCCACCAATCGAGTTCCACTACTTTAGGGTGTGTTACCATGGCAATGTGACAACAGACAACCACCCTCCCCCCCGTTGACCTCACCCTGAGGGAAAACTTTTTCCTAAGCTTTGTTCCAGAACTCCTGAATGGATTGTCTCCAATTCATCTCACCATGAGAAATGGGATGGGTCACTAAAGAAGCTGGCTTCAGAGGATTACAATAAAGCACATCACAACCTGTGACAAAGCAGCACAAAGCACTAGAAACAGCCCTAAGGGTCTCTGCGGGGCATAAGAAAAGCTGATCAGCAGCAGAAAACTTCACATTTATTTATTTGTACGTACAGTTCTCCTCTCAGTAGCCTACACATTTATACTGTGTGACTATGACAGATTTCAGATGATGTAATGTTTACAGACCATGTTCCAGGCACAATAGGGTTAAATAAAGGAGGCACTGAAGGCTTTTGAGCAGGAACCGTGGTAGACTTTTCTTATTAAATGCTGAACAACATGTTCAGATTACAGAGAGGTGACTGACTCATGGGAGCAGCGAGGTTACACCAGAAATACTGTGATCTTTAGTGATGCGTCCTATGGCGTGACAGCGATCACACTAAAGGCTACAGAATAAAACCTGAGTGTTAATGAGACGGAAAAACAGGATGGATCGATTCAACCAAAAGGGGAAGACAGGGAAAATTACGGACGAAATTGCAGAATCAATAAATGAATACAGCTGTCAGTCTACACTACTCGTAGCATTTATTATAGCCTACACATAGCATAATAAGCATAACTTTAATATTCTCCTCGACTCGTGATCTCGCATGGTCGCACATTAGGCAAATATTCCTGCTTTAGGCTATGACAGAGTAGTAATATATATATATATATATATATATATATATATATATATATATATATATATATATATATATATATATATATATATATATAGGCGAGCCTATATAAATATATGTGGCTCATTTGAGCTATATTTCAAATGAGAATATTACAATTACTATTATTGTGTCAAAAAGCAGAAATATTTGCCTGTGCGTTCATGCAAGAATCACGAGTAGCCTAGGATGTAAGTTATGCTTTTCCAGAATAAAATTTTTCGGTCTATGAATGAATGGCATACGCATATCTATACAGGACATCGCTAGAAGAAACAAATCATAATCATAAGTTAGAAGCAAAACGAAATTTTCGGATCTAAACATGCACATTAAACTGCGTTAAAAAACTTACCTTGTACAGTTTAAGGAAAAGATGTACTAGTTTTGTTCCTGTTGCGGCAGGTGCGTGTATCCGATGGTAGGTGAGTGTGTGTCGGTATCACCGGCATTCTGCGCGTCCAGCGCTGCAGCGACGCTCTCCAAACTGCAGTGTATTACAGCCAGCGGACACACTGCGCATGCGCTTGTAGTGTGTGCCGCGAGACCGCGCATGAGCAGCGCGCGCTCGCTGAGACTGGTTCAGGTGAATCTTGGGACGGGTCGAGTGTGACGTAGGCTCCCCCATGCGTAGGCTATGTCATTCGCTGGTGACGAGTGCAACATAATAGCCTAGGCTACTGCTCAGACACAATTATTAATATTGACATACATCATCGCTGGCTGTTTATTAAACATAAGCAGCTCTATTTGGCAACCATGGAGATGACGGGCCAATTATCTAGATACAAACAGCAAGTTGAGGGTAATTGTAGAACTTACTGAAAATGTATTCAATATTCTCAAATGCTGTATGCATTTTTTTTGCAGACCCATTTTCTTCTGGCAAGGCATTTGGCCTACAATAAATGTGCACGTCAAATGTTTTGTAGTTACACAGTATGAGTAACATTAGTTTATAATAATGTTTGTTATATTATGTTATCTGGTGTGTTCTGCAGAAATGGGCATACCTACTGTTGGACTGATTCTCACGTGTGCTGACTGACAATCTTGTTTCACATGCTAGAAAAACAGAAAATAGAGATGTACACCATTTAACTGACATTATATTCTTGTTTTATTTATTTAATTTTTAAAACAAAAATGCTACAAGTAGCCTACAAATCAGCTTTGATTTGGAGGGCCTTTGAAAATTGTCTTGGACAAATGGGGGCTGAGTTATTCTGTAGGCCTAATGCTAGCAGAAAGTCGATGAAAACCATGAAAACGCCAGGTCAACTAGTAAGAAAGACAACAGTGCCCTCTGTAGGCAGAATGCAGTCTTGACTGTATGATAAATAATGCCATAATGTATCCTGTGAACTGAAACAATGTTACAAGCCAAAGAATGTTTTAATTCATAACCAGAAAGGGTGTCAGGTGTAAATATGGTAAAAAAAAGCATAAATTATCACTGAAAGTATTTAATAAATGCGAATAAAAAAAAGATAATTATACATAAGAATTAAGAATGAAATTTTATTCAAAATTCAACATTCAGTCCTTTTTTGCCCTTAAACACCCAGTCCATTATTTATCAACAAATCCTCAAAAAAGCACACAGCAAAATTCTTTATACCCAAAGTAAAATACACGATTTTACAAATATATAGATCATACAGTTCTCATACAGTTACTGTACACTGTTATCTGTCTACTGTTAAGACAGAACTGAAACGTCACACAGAAACTGAAGGTTAGTTCATCAAATGAAAGGAGGCAAGAACAGGTGAAAACCAGGTGTGAGGATGTTTAAAGTCTGCAAGATTAAACTACATAATCTTGAATTCTGGCTATTAATAAAAACATAACATTTTATTTGGCATCCCTATTTTTTATATTAATTTGTTCTACATTAATCTCCTTTGACATAGTTTCCCTCCCCCCATCTGAGTTGGTACTGGGTTAATCTAATTTGACCAAACGTTATACTTTTGCATTTACAGAGTTAAATTTATTGGACTCTTACTACAATAATCAGAAGTGAATGCTTTAGAAAATCTCTTCTTCCTTTATATATATATATATTTAAAAAAGTTACGCAGAGAAAGAACAACAAAACCCAAACAGATATAAACAGCTGAGGCAGCTCACATAGTATTTCATGTCAAATTAATTTGGTTTACATTTTGTACAAAATACTCTCCTGGCTTACTTATTAAAGAAATGGAATGCAAGGAGAGATTGTTTAAAAAGAAAAAAAAGAAAAAAGAAAGATCACAGATTGTAAATGTCAAGTTAAACAAAGGTTTGCTGGTCTACGTGTACGCATATGTGATTATCCAGGGCTGCACATATGGCTGTGTTTATTGGTCCATTATATAGTCTGTAGGATAGCAATGGGAGTACATTTGTTTTCCACAACTCCTGACAACACTGAAGATGCTTAAAATTGATGATTGATAAAGAGCAAGGCACATCAAGTCAGAAATGAAGCCCCATCCCCTCACCATGGAATCTACAAAAGTTTCCCTATACAAATTTTAGTAAACTTTAAAGATAAAAAGCCAAAGATTGAGCATTTATAACATCCTATTATCCTGCCCTTTTTATTTTAATTGTGAGAACAGTAAATGCATCATAGCAAAACTTCAAGTTTGTACTAAAATGGCCAACCTTTCAGTTGAACGTGCCCTTGAAGGCGGCAGTGTAGAAATTTATGCCATTGCACTTGATGACAATATAACAATGCAGTTACATAAGAGTTAGGAGAGGTGGACACAAGTGAGGTCTAGAATTATGTCTCAGACTGGTAACGGTTTTATTCCAAGATCGATTTGATTTTGAATCATCTTTGTGGAAAAACTACTTTAAAGGCTTTACAACATTCACATGGTGCTTCATTTCTTTCGGCTTCCTGTTAAATTGTCTGTATTTTTGTATACCATAAAGTGCTGGTAACTTGATTCAAAAACAACAAGATTGTTTTGTTGTTGTTGTTGTTGTGCAAGAGAGTGCAAACTCTCTGACAAAAGAAAAAGCATTTATTTTAAAAACTAATATTCAAGTGTAAAGTCAGACATTACAAGGATAAAGAGAGGGGCTAAATATTTCTCTCTTTTATCAAACAATTTCCTGTCTTAAACATTTATTGACAGGATTTAGTGTCCTGAAAGGAGTAAAAAGGGAAAGGAGTGATAGAAACATTTTTGCTTTTTTTTTTTTTGGATTTGGTTTCCTTTAGGAGTGCACATATTTCAGGAATGCTGACTCAATCAGTGCTCCTCCAGCCAAGAGGGGGTTTCTCCTCCTGGTAACTTTAGTTTGATGTGGAACTGTTTAAGGGTTTGTTCCAGCTGCTGTTGGTTGCCTGCGAAGTACGCTGCGATGGCGTTATGGAAGAGAATCAGCTGGTTGTGTAAAACCTTCACCTGAGGAAAAGGGAATGAAAACTCTCAGTGACTCACACCTTGAGAATGTAATTCAGAACTCAAAGTACTGAAACGAAATAAAAAAATCATCAGTATAAAAGAGAATTCAAGAGACATATCAACTATTTCAATTATATTTCAACAATAAAAAAATGTAATCGCAAATTTTTACTGAAATGAGCCCACATTTTATAACGGATTATTTCCTAAAATATGCCTGGCAAATTTAGAGTAGCCTAGACAACCGCAGCGCTAACCAGACATTTTTGTGTTCATCTTACAGCAACTGAATAATAAAGATGCCTTAATCAGTTTAAGTTAGTCTTTTCCAACAGGATATATTAGTCCACTTGAAATGGCCTTTGCAACATATTTTACTTCTGTAATGTGATGCGTTGTTTTACAAGTGAACAAGAAAATGTTTAGTTAGATCAGCCAAAAATGAAGGTTGTTTCAGAGTTAGTTAGTTTTTTAAGATCACAAACATCAGCATCACATTTACAAGGAGAAGATTTAAATACAAAGACATTGAACTTTACTAATATAAGCCCTGTAAGTACAGAATAATCTATAAAACCTGCTACTACATAGAAGGTCTAGAAAAGAGGGAAGTAGCCGCGTTAAGAAAAACTCATTTCAGCAATTACGTTTTGTCATACAAATGGCAATTTATATTAAGCTTTCAATTTGGTCAATAGAGTGCAAAAAAGTACCAAACAAATACTGAATAGCCACCACATTAACTTTGACACTTCATTTTATTATAGACTATTAAGATATACAAAAGACAAATACATTATTTACATGCAGCTGATTGCAAAAGATACATTTCACCTACCTTGTTTTCCTCCAGAAACTTAAGTTTGACCGAGACGTCATTGCGCATCTTTTCATATTTTTCACGGTGGATCTGGAACTGTTGCTGAGACAGCTCAATCTTGGGGAGTGTGTTGGCGTCCCGTGGACCCAGATTGAGCTCCTCTAAATCTGTGCGATACGCATCATATTCAATCCTACCAAAAAAAGCACATGCCTTACAGAATGAGGACGTTTTGCTCTACAGGTATATATTATATAAAAGTAGCATACAGTGGTTTGTGAAGATATATTCAGACCTTGCTGCTTCATATTGCTTAATGTTGATCAAGGTGTCCTCTATAGTTTTGTCCACTAGAGTTTTAACACTGGCGATGAAGAAGTTGATAGCTCCTAACAGGGTTTCTCCATTTTTCGCCAGGAGTTTTTGGGTTTCAGCATTGTAGCCAAATTCCTCCTGAAATACAATTCAATAAATAAAACACACTGAGATGAAATGCGTATTTCTCTACATTAAAACACTAGACACCAAACGCTAGACAGTGAAACGGTCCCCTCTCTGCAAATTAAGCATTTCAAATAAAATGGTACTCCCCAAGAAACCAATGCACTTTCTGGTTATAGTCTAGTCATAAAATATTTAGTATTTGTAGTGGTTCTGGAAAAAGCAATGCCAAAGTGTATCCAAAACAGTCCATGAATAAATGATACCTTAGGAAGGCATCCAGTTATACTGTCCGAATTGCAATTTTCTTTATCAATAAAAGCTGAAAATCTATGTAGTCTTCACAGATGCATTTGTGTCGTATTATAGTGATTCAAACCAAATGTCACAATTATGAAATGATTGTTTGATGGCTATTTTCTATTGGTATATTGCATTTATCTAATATAGACACACACAGACTATAAATAATAATAATAATTTGGTTTGCTGAGAACATGTATTCTCTTTGTATTAATCAGAGTAATCACAGTTTTTATCACATGACCTAAAGATATGTACTAAGGTTTGACAACCTGAAAGCAAGCACTGCTGTTTTTTTTATTTGTATTATTTCAAACAGTACTGTTTTACCATATAAAAACAAAATAATTTTGTAGAATATTTGTGAGATGATCTGAGATTATTGGTTTTGAGACCACTGACAGAAAACCAAGTGTGAGAACATGGTTAAAATGTGTGTTCATGTTTTATAACCAAATTTATATAGCATAATCACTTACCACAGTGAAAAAGTACTTAATTAGAACAACTAAAAAACTATAAGATGATTATTATAAATTTTTAATGAAAACTCAAAAACTGATTCTGATGATCTTTTATTTAAAATCAAGAGGCTGTAGCAGATGCAACATTAGATGGAACAGTTTTTATACTTACATGTAGTTCGGGTGTCTTGAGACTAAGGTCAGCGAACGCATCACCTAGCTGTCGTTGCGTCTGCAGCATCTGCGCCAGCTGAGCGCACAGCGTCTGCGCCAGTTTCACAACATGCTCGTACTTGCGTTTGTTTTCACGAAGAACCTCAATCTGAGCCTCCAGCTCCAGATCAACCGTACGGGAGCCGCGACCTAACTTCTCTGACAGAATTTGCTTAGTGCACTGTAAGAAAGGGTATAGGATGAAAAAAAAATATATATATTTACAAGGCTACACATAACTACAATGGGCACAGGGGGGATATAGAAACTACTCTAAATTTCTGTTTCACAAAAATAATCCAAGAGCCTCAAACCCAGCCTTTTTTGCCACATGGATGCTTGAGACATTTTTTTTACTGAACACTGATACCTTCATAACCAGCATGGCAGGAATCACTCACTTTGTAAGTGTTGATGCTCCACTTCCTCACCAGCTCCAGTTTCTCTATGGCAGGACTCTTCATGTCATCGGCAAGGACCACTGCTCCTCCCATCTGCTGCTCTCTCAAATCACCTGATGACAGAATGACATCCGTTTACTGACAGTGATTACTGTATGTTATTACCCTTCTACTCTTATTGTGACTCACTGGAAAAAATGATTAACCCCAAAATATGTCACCTGGTGTGATAAAATGACAGTGATTGGCTGAATCAACTCAATCAAAAGTCTGTAGAGAAACTCCGCATTCAAGATAATTATGCATTTGACATAAAACACGACAGAATAGTTATCGTTATCTAAACTAATTGTTACTTGAAATAAAGCTGAAATAAAATAAAATATAAATATTAGGATGAAAAACCTCAACTAAATGGAAATTAGAGTATAGCTGATATAAAACAAACTAAAGCTGAAATAAAAATAAATTAAACCATTAAGAAATTAAAAAAAAGTTTTAAAAATGGCAATAGCAATTTTGTAAAAAATAAAATTACTAAATTAAGCTAAAATTAAAGTGAAAAGGGAAAATATAAAAATAAATGCTAATTCTAAATATGACTTAAACTAAAATAGTATAAAAATATTACACAAAAAAAACTACTGAAACATGGACAAGACTAATACTAGACTAAGCATACTGTAGTTGAAAAAGAGTCTCTTTTAAAATGTCAGAAGGCGGCAGAGACAGTGAGAATCGACAAAAGCAGTGCATTGTTTTGCATTAACAAAGTCCTGAAAGGGGAAAAATAGGAAATTATTGAGAAGAAACAGTCTTTATCTTTTGCGATCAGTCAGGAAGGCAAAAGGTTACAGGGTGGTTAGCCAAGACGAATAAATGAGCCCAGACTTCAAGTTATTAAAGAAGGAAGCAACAATAAGGAAGAGAACAGGCCTGGAGATCACAGAGTTTGAAAGAACACCATCATAAATTTAAACACTGCCAATCTAATGAATGCTGCAAGACACATTTCAAAAGCAGGAAGTGATGTCAATTTTATGTCTCTTGAAGATTGAACATTTCAACAGACATCACTGAAATCTACTAGAATAAAGTCTTCATGATGGTATAGTCTGAAACTGACAGTGCGGCGTTAGTAAGGGAGAGATTAAGGAACGCAGATTCATGCGTGACGTCGTCTGTTACAGTATGTGGTACCTTTGTGTGTCTCCACCTGACTATCGCTGATGCTGCGAGCTAGCCGGCTGGCTGCTGCAGGACTGGGGACAACTGTAGGTGTGGTGGCCTGGAATGGCGACTCTAAAAATGGTCAGTGATGAATTTTTATAATTTATACACCGAGTCTGAAAAACTATTTGTAAAAAACAGCCACAGAGGGGGAAATGTCCATCTATCAAAAAATTAATTAATTAATGAACAAGTAAAAAGAATGTATTGATTGTTTGGCCTTGTTGTTTATGGAAAGTATTCTGCATAAACAGGTAAACCAGAGCGTGGTAATAGTATCAAAACTACTAGCGCATTAAATTGACCACCCACATTTACACTACCATTCAAAAGTTTAGGGTCAGTTCGTTTTTTTTTTTTTTTTTAAAGAATAATACTTTTATTCAGGAATGATGCATTAAAGGTGCAGTAAGCAATTTCTGAGAAATGCTTTAGAAAATTTAAATCAACACCTAAACTGTTAAAAAAGATGGACAGTGAGTCTCCACTTCCTTCCATTGTAGAAAAATGTCTACGCACAAGTGATCCTGAGGTGGAGCCACGGCATCAAGGTCCCTCTTATACTCATACTTAGTCCTGGGCGGTATACCGGTTCATACCGCATACCGGCGTTTATTTTTGTTATGATATGAATTTTCAATATTCCGCAAAACCAAAAAGAGTGTCGTTTAAACAACGTTGGGAGCGCGGCGCGACACTGTTTGAGAGGCGTCCCTTTTCACTGTTGCACTGTGGTGAGGGCACAGCTGTATGTGTTACTAAATGTGACGGTGAAGATGGATAGGTTCAACTATAATTGGTAGCTGTCAAAATTATATTACAGTGTTTCCCAAACATTGGTTCACAATATCAACACTGCCCGCCACAAATAGATTTTACAAAAGGCTTTGACATCGTTGAATAAACATGAGAACTGCACATTTCAAAGTAAAAACGTTCATTCGTTTCAGTAAAAAACGTTCAAACGTTCAAGTAAAAAAATACATTCATTTATATGAATGTATCTTTGAATGGAACTGACTGTCTTTAGGAAAGTGTCAATGTTATTTTCATTTAATCTTTCCAGATAAAGCAGCGTTTATTAGCTCTGCTTTGTGTACAGCCATTACCGGGGAAACCGCTATTTCTGCCGCTCCTAAAGCGCCTCCTGCTGGCACCTCTTTGTAAACTTTACAAACCTGTATTAATACTAGTGTGGAATTTTTCTAAAATATTCACTCATGCCAGTAAAATAGGGCATTCTAAGTCAATCTACTGCAGTATTTCCTCTCTCAGTCGGTAGAAAATGTGGTTAACACCCATTCATGCTTGAAAAAAATAATAATACCGTCATATACCATGAAACCGGTATATTTTGAAAAATACCGTGATATAAATTTTTGGTCATACCGCCCAGCACTACTCATACTTGTACGTAGACTGTACGATGATGACACATTGAATCGTAGGCTACGACACAAGTTAGTACAGAAGAATAAAATGTCAACAGCATGTTTTTATGTGCACTGAAAAAAAAAAGGAAGCGAAAGAAGAGAATATGCACGCGGCCATGGCAAGGGGAAAGAGCAGAGGCCAACTTGGCATGCCAATTTTGCAAATGGAGCTTGAGGTAAGTAGTTTTAGTTTTAGCCCCGCCATGTCGCATTGATCAATACGCTATTTCATGTTGCGTTTTTACTGGCTAGTCAGTAGACGTAGGTCGTAGCAGCAAACACACTGCGTGATGATCATGTTATATTTCTGGTGCTAAAGAAGCAATTTCCTAAATGGATAAATTCTTTTAAACTTTCTATTCATCAAAGAATACTGAAAGATCATTTGACATTGAGGACTTGCTGCTGAAAATTCAGCTTTGCATCAGAGGAATAAATTACATATTAAAAACATATTCAAATAGAAAAAATAATAATAGACAACAGTTATTTTAAACTGCATAAATATTTCATTATATTGCTGTTTTTACTGTATTTTGACCGAATAAATGCCAGCCTTGGTGAGCATAAGTGACTATTTTCAAAAACATTTAAAAAAATCTTCCTGACCTCCATATTTTAAACGGTAATGCTTGTAATGTGTACACAGAAATGACTATTTTGATTTCAGCAACATGAACTGTCGGAGACTCCGATCATAACAGGACTTGTTTACATATGGACGTCTTAAAAGTACGGTATCAACATCAGGGGAAAATCTGAAATGATACAAAACTTTACAAAATGGCCCCTTTAAATAAAATGTTTCAAATTGATTTCTTTGCTAGTAGGTGATACTGCAGCAAGGAGATGAAACAAGCTCCATAGCTTACTAAGCTAACAAGTGACAAGGGAAATAAAAAAAGGGGTGGTCAGCAATTATACCCAGCTAATGACAGGTTGCCAGGTTTCTGTCCTACAAATTAATTCACATAGTAAATGAGCATGAAATAATGAAAGGGGAAAGCAGATTGAAAAAGATCACAGACGACTCTGTAATGAGACAGGAACACCTTTCTTTTCAAATTCAAATTCTCCCTCTCTCCACAACACACACAAAGAGAAACACAAACAAACAAATGTGGGTTTAAATTAGGTGAACCGGATAGTGAGAAGATATTGAACCTAATGACTGAAGAGTAACGCTCTATCCAGCCTGATCTCATTTAATACAATGAGAGGAAGTGTTTTTAAATGATTAACATTGTGTCCATATCTGAGCGAATTGCCAATCTGTATGTAATCTTATGTAAGCACATATGTTTGTGCGCAAACAAACTAGTCAGCTGTAGAATGCGGAGTCATTGTTTGCATTTGTGTGAAGAACAAACGCAAATGATATTCATGTTCAATGCATGCTTAGTGTTATACCTGTGAATGGACCCACTTGGACCACTCCCTCAGTCATTGCATAGTTTTCATTTGAATTGTGGGAGTGTGACATGATTGGTCCAGAGGAGATATTATGTGGAACATCCTTGAGAGAAATAAAAGAAAGAGAACAACAAACAAGAATATAAATGAATGACACTTAAGAAAGATATCACAACAAAGCAATTTCCGAGTATACTGCGTTTTCTCCCATTTTTCCATCTCATTTTTAGCCGTCAACATTAAGTTACTTAATTTCAAAACTGAATAATTTTTGGTCAATTTCATGGCAAAAAACAAACAAAAAACATTCACTCTTAAAATAGTTTAAACTCTGTAAACTCAGGGTTAAATGTTCTTATTTGCATATTTATGAGGTCAATAACAAATTACACAAATACAATGGGCATGTATCAGTGTCAATGTGGCCAAGTAAATCTGCTCTGTGTGTTTTAAGTCACCCTACAAAAGTATAAAAAAATATTATGCGGTCTCTACTTCACATCAAAATGCTCTTTATTTCCTTTACACTGAAACATTGATACATTGTGCATTTGTGAAAGTTTCTGTGACTGTACAAGGTTCATGAATATTTAATGAAGTAAGTACTAATTAATGTATGATGGCCTGTCTGTTGCTAACACGCTGTATCATTCTAGCACCATTGTTTCACATTGTATACATTTGGCAACACACCAAATGCATTTTTATAACACAGGGTTAAAAGCGGTGCAAGGCATCTTTAATGTCTTGTGTTAAACAGGTACCACCAAATGTACAGTCATGGCCAAAAAGTTTAGGCAGTGACATGAATGTGTTTCGCAAAGTTTGCTGCTTTAGTATTTGTAGATTCTTTTGTAGATGTTTCTAAGGTATATTGGGAAATGATAAGAATTTCGTAAGGTTTAAAGGCTTTTATTGGCAAAAACATTCAATAGATGCAAAGTGTCAAAATTTACAGTGTTGACCCTTTTTCTTCATAACCTCTGCAATTCGCTCTGGCATGGAGGATATCAGCTTCTGGGCCAAATCCTGACTGATGGCGATACATTCACAATTTGTGGTCTTCTGCTTATCCACTCGCCTTTTGATGACTGACCACAGCTTCTCTATGGGATTAAGATCCAGGGAATTGCCTGGCCACATATCCAAACTTTCAATGTGATAATCTCCGATCCACTTCATTATCACTTTTGCCTTGTGACATGGTGATCCATCATGCTGTAAAATGCACAGATCATCACCAAATTGTTCCTGGATCATTGGGAGAAGTTGCTCTTGCAGGACATTTTGATACCATTCTTTATTCCTGGCAGTGTTTTTGGACAGAATTGTGAGAGAGCCCACTCCCTTGGATAAAAAGCAACCCCACACATGGATGGTTTCAGGATGCTTCACTGTTGGCATGACACAGGACAGGAAGCGTTCACCTATTCTTTTCCAGACAATTCATTTTTCAACAGTTGGAAGGGGGCTTCATTAGAAAAAAAAACCTTCCTAGTTCCAATCCTTGTAATTCTGCAGAATTTCAGTCTGTCCTTGATGGTTTTCTCGGAGAGAAGTGGATTCTTTGCTGCCCCTCTTTACACCAGGCCGTTGTCCAAAAGTATTTGCCTCAGTGTTTTCAGATGCAAGTTCTTGATCAGGTAAATGGTTCTTTCAGGTGCAAAATTGTGAGGCATTTTTGATGCATGCGATGATGGTTGCACGTCTTTTTTTGGAGGTAACCATAGCCAACACAAGAACACAATGATTGGAAGCACTTCTTCCCTCCTTTTATAACAATCACTTATATAATCCAATCAGAATGATATGTGATTTCACCTGACTAGTACTTGTTCACACTTTCCCATGTGCTGATGATATGATTAGTAATATAATGTTAGCTGCTCATTTCGTGCTAGGGCCAAAAAGAAGAAGTAGTAGCATAATTTGGGTAGTGATAAAGCAAATTTTTTTGACCAATGAAGTTTTTGCAATTATTTAAAATGCATCTGATCACTCTGCACAATAATCTAGAAACAATTTGAATCAAAACCACAGCAACAACTGAAGCAAACTTTGCAAAATACAAATTTGTCACTGCCAAAACCTTTGGCCATGACTGTGCTTTTAGAGATGCCTGTTGATTCATGTTGTCTAATTCTTCTGTTTAATGTGAAGAATGCCTAGTATATAGACTGTTGCCATAGACATGACACACATTTAGTTAAATACTCAACCATGAGCACTCTGTGCTGGCTTGGATGTTGGCACACTTTTATGAAGCTAATAAAAACAAGTCAAGCTCAAAGTAAATCCTAACCCGGATACATGAAACTGAAGGTGGGGCTGGGCAAAACCAACATAATCCATAACATACAATAATAGCAACTACAGTTAAAACCCTGTGCATTGGTTGGTTATAGAATCAGAGCAGTTCTGCATTGTAAGTAAGTAAGTAAGTGTATAATAAATACAGTAAATAAAACAGTGTTTTTCCTGTGTCAAAAACGGACATGGTCATCCACACACAGTAAAAAGTAGCATACCCACGTGATCTCATACTATGTATGATCTCTTAACAATGTTTGTTTCTTTTGCTCCTCATTGTTTACACATGGTTGCTCATTCTATTTTTTTTTCTTTTGGCCCCTCATTTTCTTCCGGACTGTGGCTGTTATAGGCTATGCAATTATCAGACACCTATACCTGGCTGTCACCATCACTGTAATCCTTTCTTGCCCTCTTTACAAATAAAGCTGTGATTTTACCACTGGTTTTCATAGCTTTGTAAGATAAGATCCTTCTTTGCTAGACCTGATAATTATTATTTACCATACTATACCATTGATATATTATCATATCAATATTAAAAAGTAGCATTAAAAAGTTTATTTTAACTAATAGTTTAATTTTCTACCATATACAATAGAATAAAATTAGCAGCTAGCTAACAACAACTTGCCTTGTTCTGGCTTCACCTCACTCCAGTCTAAACTAAATGATTTTATGAGTAATGTACTACACATTGTCAATATAAATAACCTGAAATTGCTCTGGATTTTTAAGGCTAAATCTTACAAACCACTTTTGCTAAATGAGGTAAGCACACTTACATTCTCATTTCAGAGGTGTTCTGAGTAAATGATTTGTTAAACACTGATTCAGACAGTGATGTCTCGTGAGTTCAGTGTTGGACAGATCACTTGTTTTAACCATTCATTAAAATGAATCAGTTCAAAGGAGCCAGCAGCCATATCACCCTGTAGCCCAAGACTGGTTGCCCACTGAAGGGTTGAGCCTGGTTAGTACCTGGATGGGAGACCTGGGAAAACCAGGGTGCTGCTGGAAGAGGTGTTAGTGAGGCCAGCAGGGGGTGCTCACCCTGTGGTCTGTGTGGGTCCTAACGCCCCAGTATAGTGACGGGGACACTATACTGTCAAAGAGCACCGTACTTCGGATGAGACGTTAAACTGAGGTCCTGACTCTCTGTGGTCACAAAAAAATCCCAGGATGTCTTTCGAAAGAGTAGGGGTGTAACCCCGGTGTCCTGGTCAAATTTGCCCAGTGGCCTCTGTCCATCATGGCCTCCTAATCATCCCCATGTATATATACTAATTGGCTTCATCACTGTCTCCTCTCCACCAATAAGCTGGTGTGTGGTTGGCGTTCTGGCGCAATATGGCTGCCTGTCGCATCATCCAGGTGGATGCTGCACATTGGTGGTGGTTGAGGAGATTCCCCCCCTTCTATGTAAAGCGCAATATAAATGTAATGAATTATTATTATTATTATTAGGTCGCAAATCGGACACTAGCGGACGTGGATGCATTGTGTGCTAATCCCGGCTGTTGGGACATCGCAAAAGATTTGACAACACAGAAAACACTTCATCACTGAATAAGATTATTCTTAGTTTCGTTTATTGAAAGTGTGGCTTATGTCAGCTGCATGTGTGGAACGCTTGTCAGAGAAGAAGCAACTTTTTTTCCCACCCTGCGTTAATTCAGGAAAATAATTCTCTGAATGCGCCACGTGCAACAGATTCTGTCTTCCGACCTTTTACCATTTCTGTCTTAGTTTGAAGACAGAAAGTGCGCGCGCGGGAGGGAGGGGCTCTTTGCTTGTTCTCTAGGGTGTTAACATGCACCCTGTCACAAGCGCAACAGTCATCTACATCACTCATAGATCAGAATAACTGATCAAATAAGGCTTTGGCGGAACAAAAGTTCATTTTGGCGCCACCAAAAAAGTTTCAATGTAGGAAAAACTCTATATAGTTGTAATTGAAATGATTGAACCCCATTGCAAATCAGGTTGATTAGCAAAATGTACAGACCTTCAGCTGTTTACAATGAACAAATCAAACAAAAGTAATTGAAATAGCTCAAAGAAACAAATGTTTCCCCAAACTACTAGAAATGCAACTTTTAATGACTTCTGCAGTCTCAAAATTATTCAACCCCTTCATGGCAAGCATCTTTAGTGCTTGGTAGAACACCCTTTTGCTGTTATGACATGCTGCAAACGAGATGTATAACCGCACCAGCTTCTGCCAGCATTTCTGAGGAATCTTAGCCCATTACTCGAGCAGTAGCCTCCATTTCAGTAATATTCTTGGGTTTGCACGTTGCAACCACCTTCTTCAATCTCACTAGAGATTTTCTAAGGGGTTCAAGTCAGTTGACTGTGATGCCACTCTAAAATCTTCCAGGACTTCTTCTGCAACCAAGCCTTGGTGCATTTTGAGGTATGCTTGCGAATGCTATCATTGTCCTGTTGGAAGATCCAATGACGCCCAAGCTTCAGCTTCCTCACTGACGGCATGACATTTTCTCCTAGGATTTCCTGATACTTCAATGAATCAATCTTGCCTTTCACACGCTGCAGGTTTCCAGTGCCAGAGGATGCAAAGCATCCCCAGAGCATCAGAGCCACCACAATGCTTCATTCTTCAATTCCTCCAGACACACTGCTGATCCATAGGTCTGAAAATATCCAGTTTTGTTTCATCACTCCACAGAACAGAATCCCAAAACTTCTGTGGTTTATTTATATGATTTTGAGCACTTTTCGTGTGCTTTTGGGTCAGTAGTGGTGTACGTCTTGGAGTTCTGGCATGGAAACCACATGCATTTAGTATGCACCCTAGTGTGCAAGCTGAAACCTCAGTGCCTGTTGCCACCATGTCTTGCTGCAGGTATTTTGCAGTCACACGATCATTTTTCTTAACCTGCCTTTCTTAGAAATCTGGTTGCAGCCATTGATAGCTTCCTTTTTCTGCCCCGTCCAGGTCATGTAACCACTGTTCCTTTAAAGGTGCTGTATTTTCACTCTGCTAAAGCATAAAAATACCATAATATGTTTGCATATATTGAGGAAACATGCTAGGTTCACATACTCGTTTCTCTGAAAAACACTTCTACAGCCAGTTATTTTACTTTGAAATGTGCGTTTCCAGGCTGGAATGTTCGTTTTGGTCTGTGAAACTGCACGTTGCTAATTTGCCAATTTTCATTGTCCATTGCGCTCATTCCTGTTACATGTGGTCAAACTGGCAACCCGTGTGAGCGCCGTCCAGTCTGAGGAGCAGGTGGCGGGAGAAACGACGATCTCCGATGTTTTGAATTGTACTGCAGTACCTATGTCATTCTTACAGACTGCACCTTTAAAGGATTAGTTCACTTTTAAAAAAACTTTTGCTGATAATTTACTCACCCCCATGTCATCCAAGATGTCCATGTCTTTCTTTCTTCAGTCGAAAAGAAATTAAGGTTTTTGATGAAAACATTCCAGGATTTTTCTCCATATAATGCACTTTGCTGGGCACCAAACGGTTCAAGGTCCAAAAGACAGTTTCAGTGCAAACTGCAAACTGTTCAAAGGGCTTTAAACGATTCCAGATGATGAATAATGGTCTTATCAAGCGAAACGATCGGTCATTTCAAAAATAAATAACAAAGTTTAAGTTTAATAATGTCAAATGCTCGCCTTGCTCTGTTCTGTGATGCACGTTCGTGACTCTCCTGTTCGAACTCGTTCATCAAAATGAACAAATCTTTTTTCGAGTCATTTGGTTCATTTAACGAACGAAATGAACGAATTGACTCGGAAAAAGATTCGTTCATTTTGATGAACGAGTTCGAACAGGAGAGTCACACAGAACAGAGCAAGGCGAGCATTTGAGCTTATAAAACTTAAACTTTGTTATTTCTTTTTTAAATGAGCGATCGTTTCGCTTGATAAGACCCTTATTCGTCGTCTGGTGTCGTTTAAAGCCATTTGAACAGTTTGCAGTTTGCACTGAAACTGTCTTTTGGACCTTGAACCGTTTGGTGCCCAGCAAAGTGCATTATATGGAGAAAAATCCTGGAATGTTTTCATCAAAAACCTTAAATTTCTTTTCGACTGAAGAAAGAAAGACATGGACATCTTGGATGACATGGGGGTGAGTAAATTATCAGCAAAAGTTTTTTTTAAGTGAACTAATCCTTTAACTTTGAATTTGCAAACTTTGCTTCCAACGGTGTCTCTAGAAACATTTAGTGCCTTTGTTATTGTCACACTCTCACACCACATGGACTCGTTTTGTCATCTGCCTTCGTCACTCATTTGTTCTCACGTACACCAATTACGTTCAGCTGTGCACTCATCAGTCACCATCATTAACACCTGTATATATGTTCAGTTCTGTTTGAGATCAGTGTCCGGTGTTGTCAATGTTGAGTGTGTGTTGCTCTCTAGTTAAATAAACCTTTGAATTGGATATCAAGTCTTCCTCATCTGTCTGCCAGCAACCACCCGTGACAGAACACTGGACCAAACAAGGGAACGCGCGTGTAAACAATTTATTTTTCAGTTTTCGTGTTCAGTGTTTTTGTTCCGTTTTCACCCCTGCTTGCACCTTCCACCTTCCCTGGCAACTGCCTGTGCACGTTCCTGGATGTCGGACTCAACGCCACCACACGTGCACAGTTGTCCGGGGAGGTTCCTCGAGGGAGCTTCGCGTCATATGTGGAGTGGGTGCTGGCATCCTGCGGATCTGCGTTCACCGTCGAGGATGCCACCAGCCTCACTCCCCATCCAGTGCCCAGCCAGAACCACCCAGACGGCGAGGATCGTCGACCTGAGCCCACCGCAGGTAGCGCGACGGAGACCGCCGCGATGAATGAGCCTGTGCCCACAAGTGCGACCGAGGACCACATCGCCACGGAGCCCGAGCAGTGCGCGTCTGACCAGGTGTGTGAGCCGGCCAAGCCATCCATCGCCGACGGAGTGCTGGTGGACGTCGAGGGTTCGGAAGTGAGCCAAGTGAGCCTTTTTTTCTTTTAGGTTTCTGCATCGGACTTCAGTCTATCCCCCAGCCATCCGTGCCACCCAGTCATCTCTGTCACCCTTCAGTCCCTCTGCACCACCTCTGCCCCTCTGTAGCGAGGTACCACCTCAGACCTGTCGGGAGCCTGTTGCTCTCTGTTCGCCTGTCTGTTGTTCTCTAGTTAAATAAACCTTTGAATTGGATATCAAGTCTTCCTCATCTGTCTGCCAGCAACCACCCATGACAGTTATCTTTTTGTATCCTGTTCCTTATATTCCATGTGTTCTAGCTCAAGCAAATCTGGTGCAACTAATGAAGCCCTTGATTATTTGCATCAGGTGTTTTAGACAAGACCTGTTTTGCAGAATTGTGCTGATGTGAGGGATTCTATTCAGGGGGTTGAATAATTTTGAGACTGCAGAATCATTAAAAGCTGCATTTTCAGTTAAATTTGGGGAAACCGCTTGAAACATTTGTTGTGTTGACCTATTTCAATTACTTTTTTGCAGAGGTGGGAGACTCGAGTCATATGACTTGACTCGAGTCAGACTCGAGTCGCAATTTTCTGGACTTGAGACTTACTTGACTAGATCTCTGAAAAGACTCGACTTGACTTTAGACTTGATCCTTGTGACTTTAGACTTGATCCTTGTGACTTTAGACTTGACTCGGACTTGTGCCTATTTACTTGAAATGACTTGTGCAAAAAAAAAAAACTCAATTATTGTAATTTTTTGTATACGCCATAAGAGGGAGCGCGGGCGGTAATGCACTCTGTGTGTGCAGGTTGAGGGAGAATAAAGCGTTGAGCGATGTAGCCAATCACAGACATATGTGTTGTTTTCTTGAACGCAATGGCCAATCAGAAGCATTTAAGATAGACTCCCCTCACCGCTCAAAACAGACTTTTTGTTCAGTGCTGAATTCTGTATGCTGGCAAATCCTCTAATTATAACAAACAAAGTGTATATATTATGAAACGTCATTGATAATAACAGATGTGTGAGATCCCGATGAACTGTCAGCTTTTTAGGAATTATTAAGGGAGCGCACAGTCATGCCAAACCATGCACGCAGGAGCTGCTTGCTTTTATGTTATAACAATGGTTTGTGTGTTAATGCTTTAAAAACAAATAATTTATCAGGAGCATTTATCCTGATGTTTATGGTGGCGACACGTAGGCTAAATTGAAAGTATTTGGATGTACAGAAAAAAATCTATTTGCGGGCGGGAGCGGGACAAAACATAAATGTTGCGGGCGGGAGAAAGTAATATAGAAAGTAGTTGAGAACGTCAGTTACAACGACCCACGTATTAAAAAATAGCCGGGTTTAAATAATTTAAATGTTTAAATTTGTTTTCTTAAAATTTCCATATAATATTTTGTGTTATGCATGGGATCAAATCACCTGGATATTTAGAGTAAGAACATACAAACTTTGGCATACAGTACTAATTTAGAATGCAATATATATATATATATATATATATATATATATATATATATATATATATATATATATTAGGGCTGTCAAATGATTAATCACGATTAATCACATCCAAAATAAAAGTTTTTTTTACATAATATATGTGGGTGCACTGTGTATAATTATTTTGTATATATTTAAATACACACACATGCATGTATATTTAAGAAAAAAAATTATTTATATATAAAATATTTATATTTATATATAATATAAATTATATATAAATCTATATACAGTATATACATGAAAATATTTCTTAAATATATACCGGTACAAGCATGTGTGTGTATTTATATATATAAAATAATTATACACAGTGCACCCACATATATTATGTAAAAAAAAAAAATATTTTGGATGCGATTAATCATTTGACAGCCCTAATATATATATATTTTTTTTACAAGATGGGAAAAGTTTTATTAATTCTTGTTTACATGTGTTCATTTAATTTATTTTTATATTAGAGCATTTAAAGTGCTTCTTAATGATATGATATTATATTTTAAGTTAATTTATTTATTTTTGTAACCCATTAGCCCTCTGTGTCTAAATAAAGTAATAAAAGTCCCAGAGTTAAAAAATGTGTAAAACTAGCCTGTGTGCGACTTGGTATGACTTGATGACTAAGTTGCGACTTGACTTGACTTGACTTGACTTGACTTGACTTGACCCTTACAACAGAATGACTTGACTTGACTTTGACTTGCAATGTTAAGACTTGGACTTGACTTGAGACTTGCATTTAGTGACTTACTCCCAAGTCTGCTTTTTTGATTTGTTCATTGCAAACAGCTCAAAGTCTGTACATTTTGCCAATAAACCTGATTTGCAATGGGAGTTTAATAATTTTGATTACAACTATATATATATTCTTACTGCTGATCTATTTGTAACAATATAATAGTCTGTTCATCCTTTCCAATAATTAGGAACATAAGTACAGTCATGAGACAACTTAAGTCATTTTCATTATGTGTCATCATTACATAGTACCTTGGAAACATTCATCTCCAAATATTCTGTGTTCAAATGGCACCATTGTTAGCCAAAATTGGTTTTGCTCTATGCAGGATGTCTTACCCTCTGAAACACTTCCTCGTGACTTTTGTCTGCTTCTCCGTTTCTGGTGACTGAGATTTGAGCAGCTGGGCTTCTGTGGGCCTCCTCTGCCATAGCCACCTTCAATACACATTACACAGACACACAATTACTAGGACATGAAAACAACATTAAAGCGGTCAAGCTGAGAGTTCAGATGCAGAGCGCTTCCACCACCAGAAAGCTTTGCGTCGGGGCTTGTGAAGTTATAACCGCACCACCATAAGCAAAGAAAATACAGCTATAAATAACAAAATGGATCAGGTCAGCTGCTGCTTTGCAATAACTATTTAACAGCAACAGGGAAATATAACTATTAGTGAATAAGAAACTCATCACAGACATATCACCCTGTAGCCCAAGACTGGTTGCCCACTGAAGCCAAGCAGGTTTGAATCTGGTCAGTACCAGGAAGGGAGACCTCCTGGGAAAACTAGGTTGCTGTTGTTAGTGAGGCCAGCAGAGGGTGCTCACCCTGTGGTCTGTGTGGGTCCTAATGCTCCACTATAGTGACAGGGAAAACTATACTGTAATAAGCACCGTTCTTCGGATGAGACGTTAAAACTCTTGACTCTCTGTCTGTGGTCATTAAAAATCCCATGCCACTTCTCGTAAAGAGTAGGGGTGTAACCCCGGTGTCTAGGCCAAATTCCCTCCATTGGCCCTTATCAATCATGGGCTCCTAATAATCCCCATCCTTTGAATTGGCTTGATCACTGTATCTCCTCTCCACCTATAGCTGGTGTGCAGTGAGCGCACTGGCGCCGTTGTTCTGTGGATGCCGTCACATCATCCAAGTGGATGCTGCACACTGGTGGTGGTTGAGAAGAGAACCCTGACATTGATTGTAAAGCGTTTTGGGTTTACAGTAGTAAATAGTAAAGCACTATATAAATCCTTCCTTACTTCCTTACTTACTCGGAGAATAGCTAAGTCTAACTACACTGCCATCTGGTGATCATTGTTTTCAGTTTGAACTACAGTTCAAATTTTTGGGATCAGGAAGAGATGTATATATACACATTTCTTTTCTTTCCAGCTGACTCTAATGTTCAATATAATTAGTGTATATAAAATAAAATATCCTAGCAACTACAGCACAACGTGATGAATGGTGGAGTTAAGCATAGGCTAAACAGATTTCCCTGGATAACCTCAATTCAGCTCCTATCTGCATTTGAATGACAAGCTAAAAAAAAAAAAAGTGGGGGACAATTGTTTTTCTTTACTTCTGTAGGGCAAAAACAAAAACTTTGGACTCATTGTAAGGGAAGAAAATACATAAAAATAGACAAATAAATGGCAACACTAATAAGGTTACATTAGTTAACATTGGTTAATGCATTAACTAACATTAAGTAACAATGGGCAATACATGTTATAGTATTAATCTTTGTTAATGTTATTTAATAAAAATACAAAGTTCACTGTTGCCTCAGGTCCATTAAATAATATTAACAGACAAAACTTTAGTTTTTAGTAATGTATTAGTAAATGTTGAAATTAACATCAACTACTAATGTAGTTAGTAACTAATGTTAACAAATGGAACCTTATTGTAAAGTTTACCAAATAAATAAATAAATAGCCTAAATAAAATTGAACCTAACTGAACTCCTCTGTACAATGACGAGAGAATGTGAGATAGATAGCAGAACTCACTAACAAGATAAAGCCTACGTGACATTGCATTAGAAAGTTGTGCCAAGTGGCTAAGAAGATTGCTGATGAGCTTTGTGGACAGTCTTTAAACGCTCTGATAAAAGCGTAAGTTCACTGCATTACAGTAAGTCCACAGGCTGTTTTTACATGACACACTAGACAGAAGAGCTTCTAAGGACACTTAGTCACTTCATGCACTTTTACTGAAAAAGACATGAAAATACATTTGAAACGCACCAAAATCCGATCACTCAATCCAGGTACACATGAGCTATAGCGACCATACCCGATCCGACAAATGACCATAGACACGATGCAGGAGTGAGGGTGGAGACTAAGGCCCTGTTTACATCTGGTATTAAGATGAGCTTTGGTCGATTAAATCACAAGTAGATGAGGGGGACACAAACCCGTTTACACCTGGTGTTTTAATACGTCTCTTTGGTCCAATTTCAACCACTTATGTCCTGATTTCTTCGAGGAGAGGGTCTATGGGCTGGTAAATGAATGTGTTTTTTTCAGATATTTCTATCTAATGGACAAAATAAGCGCGCACATTTTACATATGAACATGCCCGGGAAGATGACGGAAAAACACAAGGAGAGCAGCAGCTTTCATTTCTGCTCTGTTAGCCACAAGACCACGCTGAACGCGGTGAGTGCGTGTTAGAAATCAAGGCAAGGCAAGTTTATTTATATAGCACATTTCATACACAATGGCAATTCAAAGTGCTTTACATAGAAGAAATTAAAATAATCAAAACAAATACAAATAATTAAAACAGTTTAGAATAAAAAATAAAATAAAGTAATACTGGTCCACCCCTATCTGAGATGGAAGAGATTGAGCCGGTTTACGGTGCCACTGGACCTCTAGCCCAGGAACGTACTCTGCTGGGGTAGTGCTACACCAGTAATGCCCAGCGGGGCCCCCACAGAGCACGCTTCGCGTGCGCTGTCTGCTGCCGTTACGCTCTCAGCAACTTCTTATACTCTCAGCAGAATAACTAACTTACTCCTTCACTCGCCTCATCGGAGTGAAGACTCTCCCGCTCTCCTTCAAAATCTCTTCCAGAGATTATAAAAAAAATAAAATAAAAAATAAAAATCAGGAACATTGTGCTTCGTAAGTTTTTCATCTTCAAACCAAACTTGGGTCTCCAGCCGACAAAGTTTAAATCCGGTCCTGCTAATATAGTGTTAATGCATTATGTCAGTATGGGGAGAGTAGGCGGTATTTTGTGTCTGTTCAAACACATTCCACCTACCACATGAGCATTTACAATACGAAAGCAATCCAGTCGAATGCATTTTCGACTACCTCTGGAAGTGGTCTAAAGTAGACAAGCTCACAACAGTTTAGACCCTGTATTTAGAGTCATCCCCTACTTATCAACTACGGCAGCACAGGGAATTTGTTGTGCCCAGGAGTAACACAAAAAGACATGAACTTTCTTTTATTCCAAATGCTCTTAAATTGTTTTATAAATAACTTCCAGGTTTGATTGTATGACACCTGGTGTATTTCAGATTTTCCTGTGTATCTGTTTGACTCCACCTGTTTTTTATTTTTTATTAGGTAGGCTACGGTTGTCTTGATGTGTTATGTTTGATACATTGCAGGGTTTTGTTCTACAATATCCTGCCTTGTCAAACTCTAAATAAACTAACTAATCCACTTGTGATCCGATCGAGCAAAACGCATCTTAATACCAGGTGTAAACAAGGCCTAAGGGTGCTCCGATTGATCGGTGCGCTTTCTTTCCTCCCTAAAAGCCCAAACAAGCCCAAATCAGCTAGATCATTGATTGTCATAAAATACAGTTAACTGCTAAACTGCAGTTACATGTGCAAATGAAAGCAAATTACGAATGCAAAATACAGCTTCCTGTCACTATTTGGTTTAGCAATTTAGGGTGTACTCGCACTAGCCAGTTTGAACCGTGCCCGAGTGCGTTTGACCACCAAAGCGCGGTTCATTTGACTAGTGAGTGCTCCGAACCGTGCCCGGGCGCGGCTCGATTAGCCGGCCCTGGCCCGCTTGGAAGAGGTGGGCCAGAGCACGGGTCAGTTGGACTCGGGCGCGGTTCGCATGCAGTGTGAGTGCTAACCGTGCTGGAGCACGGAACAGGACGCGTGGCGTCATGGTTTTGCGACGCTCCAAAACCAACACAGTCCGTAATCAAAGCTGCAAAGTCCTTGCTGCACTTCAGCTGGTACCTTGCAAACCTCCTCATACGAGCAGCACGATTACGTGAAAATTTTCGCGCCACTAAGGCGACGCATCTGTTTAACAACAGGCTGTGGACCACTGTGGACCAAACGACACAAAATTATCCACAAAGAAAACAGAGCGATGGACTTCATTGTGTTCAGAGAGCGCCGCTCTTCTTGTTTATCCCGAAACCGTCGCACGCACCATAATGACGTAAGCGTGCTCCGGCACGAATGCTGAAACCCTATGTGAGTGCAGGCCAGAGGGGGAGTGGGGAGGGGGGACAATCGTACTCGGGCCCGGTTCATGGCAACCGTGCCTAGTGTGAGTACACCCTTAAGCAACATAACACCTTATTTAAAGATGGCATTATTTTTACAGTGTCCTATGTGGTTTAATGTTTAACTACAAAAAAGGCTATTAAGGTTTGTGTTATGCAGAAAGGCTCAGTGATTTGAATCTTAAAGTACGATCGCTTGTTTGTCTGGCCAGTGAAATAGCACACAGTGTCCAATAACAGCACATGAATCTTTTAAAGCCACCTGATGCCATCATGCCAGGAGGACAGTGACTCTAAACTCTCTCAGATGAATCAAATGACAACTGTGGTTCTGACTGGTTTCTTTAAACAACTCGATTCAAATTCTGGATTGTCTTTTGCAGTCACAACTTTAAAAGCCCTTATTTCCAATCGCTGCAGTTTGTCACCAGATTTGATGATTAAAGCAGCATTGTGAACAGTGCCTCGGTCAAGCCCAGCAGAAGAGTCCCCTAGAGTTCAGTTGCTTAGAAACATTAACAAAGAGAACTACAGAAACAACAGCAATCTGATCAGACAGTCTAAAGACAGAGCTGTTATCATGATCTCTTCATAAAAGAGACATAGGTCTAATAAATGCTCGAAGAAAACGAAAGATAGGATTCTTAAACAAACCTTTCAGTTATCAGAATGAGTCAGTTAACATTTCCTTATCAGGACAGGCTGAATAACTATTTCCATCATGCTGACAGATAAAGTGCAGTAATCAGGCATGTGACTAGACTAGCTGACAAAAGACAAAAAACTGACATGACGTGAAGGCCTTTGTCCTCTGCTTTTAACCAATTTAAGTTAAGTTAGTACATTAGGAGCAGTGAATAGTGAACACACACACTCGGAGCAGTGGCCAGCCACTTTTGCTGTGGCGCCCGGGAAGCGATTGGGGATACGTGCCTTGCTCAAGGGCACCTCAGTCATTTCCTGAAGGTATTGGGAATTGAACTTACAACCTTCAGGTTACCAGTCTGACTCTATAAACATTAGGCCACGACTAAGCATTTTATAAGCAACAACACTTGCAGAGTAGCTTTTTCAGTGCAAATGAAAATGAACAGTGCAACGCGTAAGACTATTTATTTATATAATTACATAAAACCGTTACGATATGATGATCGCACTAAATCATTCTCACAACCATGCATTGTCAAAATTCATAATAAAGTTACAGGGCAACTGGGGAGTATAGCACAGTTTCAACTGCGATTTTTACTCACATTTAGTGCTTTAAACCCTGGCCAACATGCTAAGGGTGTCCCGAGGATGGCGCCGTGAACTTGTGCAGTGCTGTCAGAAGCAATCCTTGCATGAAATAAATGTATTAGAAAACTTAACATTTTGCAGATTATTTTGTAATTGTTTAAGGCCATTTCATGATTTCAATCATCATACAGTCACCAGCACCCCCCATCCCCAATTTTTTTCCCCCTCAGATTTCCCAAATTCACGTGGGTCATACGGTCGGAAATACAAAAAAAAAAAAAAAAAAAAAAAAAAAAAAAAAAAAAAAAAAAAAAATCACAATTGTCACAGACTGTGTTTGTTAGAAAAGCACCCATAGTGCACTGGGCATGTTGCCATCCCAAGGCCATTTGCACCAGTCTGCTATGGATACGCCAACCAGAGTCAAATACCGCCTAGCTTTAATAGGAAATGCTTCTTAGCAAACTTTTAGTCACAATGGTGTTGACTTGTATTGTTCCCGGGTGAAAAAAATAACAAAATAAAACACGAGTTACTTTTGGTTTCCAGTGAAGGATCCAGCATGTTGTAGGCTGTGGCTAAAGGCTGCAAAAAAAATGTAATACGGAGAGAACAATGCAACAGAAAAACGGAAAAACCTCAGTGTTTGTAGTCAACATTTCGAACTGGATGACCACGAACACAGTGTTTTAGGCCAAACAGAGGGGACAAAAATGAAAGAAACTGCCGTTCTGTCATTCCGCCAAACCTCTGTAGCAAAACAGTCACATACAGGTAAAAAGCTGTTGCCATAATGTTTAATTTTTACCATAATGCCGTCTAAAGAGTAGACTAAGTACGATAATAACTGTTCATGGGCGGGGATACAAATATGCGTTAGTTTGTAGCGCGCTCTCTCTCTCTCTCTCTAAATAAAGTTCATGATGTCAGGTGAATTTGATTTTTCAAAAAGTGTGTAAAGTGCATAACATCACAACAATGGCATTGCAATGACAAGTCTTTAAACTAAAGAGCTCGAAATAGTAAATTAAATAAATGCAATAATAACAGCAACGACCAAACAAAATTTACCAGAATAGACAAAAAAAAATGCACCATCACCCATATAAAGGAGTAAAAGACACCTCGCAAAGAAAAAGAACAAGAGAAAGATGCTTCATAATGCTGTAACATTCAGGCAAAGGCCCAGTTCTTTTAAAATCACAGACAATTTGGCTGATTCAAATATTATTTATATTTCCCACTTATGAAAAATCATTCATGCCTGAAATCACAGCAACATGTATGAGCGAGATTAAGCATAAGCCAAGCTACAGGTCTCACAATATCATTACAGTCACCTTCACTTCAGCTTCTGTCGCCACACTGCTCGTTGTTTCAGAATCACGATTATCCTCAATGATTCCACTAGTTTTACTGTGGGCCTGAGAATCCTCATCTTCATCACCATCCTTACTAAGAGTATTATTGTGGTTTCCAACTTCCTTGTTCTCACTGATGTCAATTTCAGTCATGCACGTTTCATCCAGGCTGTTTTTTCTGGCCTCTGATTGGCTCAGAGATTCAGCAGTATTTTGGAGGCCCTGCTGTTCTTTAGGGTCCGATTGATTATCCTGTGAAGCATTCTTTTCCGAGTCAAAACTAGCTTCTGACATTCCTGAAAGTAAACATACATATGAGCAACTGACCAAGTTTTTTCCCCTTCTTGTGCTGAATTCAAGTAAATGTTAGAATTTCACAGCTGAGGCTGATGTTTCAGGAAGGGGTTCTGCCATTATACAGCACGGAACAAACATCTACTTTAAGAAGCTACAAACCACCTGTAATTATTACAGGTCAATGACCAAGAACCAATGTTGATGGCTGAAATTCAGACCTGGCAAAAGATGGGTTAGTTAATCGAAATGCAGTGTATGCACCACCTTTCTGTCGAATGTTAGTTTCAATTGGCTTTTAGATAATGTTTTTTGACAGAAAGTCAAATACAGTCCTTCTTATAAATTGTAGACTGCTACTTGCATTCCTTTACACAAATAAATGCGAATTCAGGCCTAAAAAAAGCCATTTTATACATTTCAAGCACTTTGTACAGCATTGACTAGTGACTAAGATCCACCATCTACACTACTCACATCCAAAATATTAAGTTTAATAAGAGAAGAGTTAAAGTATAAAGTAGACTAAAATCACAATAGTGAGTTTATGGCTGAATAATTAGCCAAAATATTTTATGATAAGCATGCTATGCATCTGAATGAATATTGAAATGTATCTATGTCTGTGGCTCTGTGCACACGAGACTCTCCCATGATGCTCATGTATCAGTAAGAGTTCAGTTAACCTAGAAAATGGGGTAAAAGGTTTTTATAATGAAGCTCCAGTTACACATGGTGATGTTTTCTACAAAGGAAGGCTCAAATGTTCTTTAATTATTGATGTCTTGTCTACATATTTTCATATCCAGCAAACAATATAAAAATTATATTCAACACCAAAAGCAACCTCATACTATTATCATGCTGCCACACCAGTGTCATTTACAGTAAGTCCAATTGTATTTTTATTGCTATGCAAATGTGTCCTAGTTTTGAAGATTGGTTAACCATTCATACATATATTAACCATGATTTTACTAAAAATAAAACCAAAAAACAATGCTTACTATAGTTAAACCATGGTAATCATGGTTTTGATACACTAACCAAGTTAAACCATGGTATTTGTGGTAAAACTGGTTACAAATGGTAATCAATTTGCCCAAAAACATGGTTACTACACTTTTACTATAATAAAACCATGGTTAATTTTCATATCTTGTACAATAAAAATGCACACGTGTAATTTACTCATTCCGAGTTTGAAATAAAATATTTAGAATTTTTAAGCATCTATTTAGTTTTAATAAAAGGAATAAAAGTAGGCCACAGACAATTGTAGGAAGAAGGCCCACTGTTCCTTCAAAAAAAAAAAAATATGGACAAGGAATTAAGAAACCTATTACGGCGAAGGCTTCACTTTGCAATATCTCACTTAGGTCACGCTAGTTTGAACTCTTCATTGGACCGTCAAGTCACATGACGTTATTAATATTGTTGAACAATTCCTTCGCCATAGTAGGATTCGTTTTTTTCGCGTCGTGGACACGTAAACGCTTTTCTACTTTCCAATGTTAAGCAACGGCACAACACTTACAAACAAAAACAAAACAAGGTGTATATTCAAAAGCATCCTCTTTATGAACACACGTTTTGTTGTTTAATTAATGGCATTGTCTTATTCCTTCCTGGAATTCAATCTCTCACTGTTGCACCCGCACGTCACAAAGTTGCTATTGAGTTACTTCCTTTGCCTGGAGCACTTCAATCGAGTTACGTGTTACAAAACGCAATAAACATTCCCTTTTACTCTCTATACAGCTTTTATATCAACGATGCGTCCTTCATTAATCATGAACATTTGAATGATAAGGAATATGAAGAGTTGACATTCAGTTTTTTCGCCTCCTCATCTAAGGTGTGAGATGATCAGAACCGAATATAAAACAAGTCGACAGTTTGGTATACTGAATTTCCTTAAGTTACTTTTCCCCATGGAAGAGGAGACAGAGGATCAACCCTGCACACTGAAGCCATCATGCCTGCCACTGCCATCATACATTCATGAGCACCGATGCAACAGTTGACTCTGTTCAACAGCACTCACCTGCACACAGATTACAACTGTTCTCTTTCCTGTTGCACAGCTCGTTTCATAAAAATGATCTTTGCTTGAGTTCGAGTTGCTGTGTGTGTATCATTCGATACACAGCGAATCCCTCCACAGCTCAGTTAAAGTCTTTTCAAAAACACCCGGAAGAGGACGTGTGTGTCAGTAGATATACTGGAGCCACAGCATGTCTGTCTCCTAGCGGTCAAAATGACAATGCCAAAACCGACCAAACAATAAACATCGTACAGTAACCAACACAGAACCAACTCAAATATAAATCAGAATCACATTTTATTATTTGATTTATTATCATTTTATTTGATTATTTTATTGTATTATTATTTACATAGGCCTACTGTTTATTCGTATTTTAAACGAGCTTATTTATTATATATTTTAAATGTATATATTTTAATATTTTTAATTAAAGTTTTAGTAATTTTTGTTATTATTAGTTTTTGATATGTATATGTAGCTTTAATTTATATGTATTTTTTTATTTTAATAATTTTAGTACTTAATCTTAAGCTAATTTTCGTCTAATATTTGTATTTTATTTTATGTCAACTGTCTTCAGAAAATGCATTGAATATATTGACTTTACATTTAGTCCAAAACAATTGTGTGGTGATGATACAATACAATATGATATACGATACAATATAGCGTAAGCAGTGTGGTCTCCTCATGGATCATTCCAAAACGTAGCATGAAAATAACAATAATGGGTGTCTTGTCAAATCTGCTCTACCTTGGTAAACGGACACCATTTTTTAAAATCAAATTAGCCTATCTATTTTTAGAGTGGGATATCTACAGTATGTTGAGTGCAAGTACGCATAAAATTTCAGCCACTAGATGGCATGGTAGGCTATGTCTTAGTGTACTGTGTACAACAGCAGCCGACACGCTAGGGCAGACCAGGGATAAAGTTGACACTGCCAGTAATGACCCTTTATTTTACCCGGTATGCAATTTCAAAAGATGGCGAAAAAATAAATAAAAAAAATCTAAGCATAGGCCTATATTCATTTCTAATTTATCTTTTTTATTTTTATTTTTATTTTTTACTTTTCTAGCAAGCATTTTACATTTTTGCAAATGAAGTAAATATTAGTGAATTTTATTGTGATTTTATTGATAATGTTATTGTTAAAATAAGTTTTAATATGTAGTTTGATATAATGCAACATTTAGTTTTGGCCCAGGGCTGAAAAATGTTTGAGCATCTCTGCTCTAGCGGTTTTCAAATTAGGTTTTAAAAAAAACAAAAGTATCATGTTTAGGGCTGTCAAAAGTTACCTTGTTAAGTTATCTTTAAAATAAGGTTACCATTAAATAAATATGTTTAACATGTTCATTTAAGACACATAACACGCTTACCATATTTGACATTATTACTTTCATTCTCATTTCTAAAGACAAAAATCACGAGATTAATCATGATTATTTTATTCTGTCAACAGCCCTAGTTTTAACAGTAAGAAAAAAGAAAAGAAAAGTACTTATAAAGCATTTCTGAATCCAGTATCACCAGGGGCCACTAAAGACCACAAATACCAGGTCTGTTTATCAGGATGGTGTGGATATAGAATTGTTAGTGTGTTAGCAGGAAACGTTTTTAGTCAAACAATCTTCAAATACATATTGTTAAAAAAACTTTAAGAATAAACACCACGTATGATTTTCTTTTCTTAAATGTATTTGCTCTTATTTTGTATTGAGTGACGGCTGAAGAAAAAAATGATACAAATCACCAATGATCAAATTACATTACATGACGGTGAGTGTTAATAAATGCACTTAACACTAATGAATTGACAACATATTGCTACTGTGACAAACAAATAAAATGCTACAGGTGTTGAAAATATGTGCACATAAAAACCTGTCTATTTACAGAGTATGACAAAAGTTTGGACATTACCATGAGACGATTTCACTTACCAACTTCTGTACATAAAGTACAATTGAATCATTGCTCTAAATGAGCACTGAGACCGAGAGAAAAACAGCTCTGTGGTTTTACCAACATGTGACTTAACTCTAATACTGGGCATTCATAAGCCAAAACAAAACAGCAAACAACTTTGTGAGCATAACAAGAAACAGGCCCATACAGTACAACATTATTAATATAACTGACACAGAAAAGAAATAAACCAATATTGTGTATATAAAATTGCTGATTGAAATTCAAAAGGCATAACATAGAAACAGTGCAGTATTTAGGCTCAAGTATGGAGACAAAAACACTGGGCTAAACAAATTATGCATTTGTGGCCTTCTCATAACTGTCTGGGGAGAAATGAAAACATTCACATTAACATACATGATTATGCTTCAGAGACTAGCGTCACATGGGATATTTTTAAACATTGAGAATAGAGCCAGCTATCTCATTGTGCTCATAAAAGTACTTATAGGAAAACTAACTGTTGGCAGATTCCATAGTCCATGCTAAAAAAGAGTGTCTTAACCATGTTTGATAGAGGGAAACATCTTTCATCTTTTTTTAATCTATCATCTTATGGCCTTAAAATCTTCACACCTACCTTTTTAACATCTCACATAAACTATTTCCAAAATATATAATCAACACTTTCTAATGAATGGGTCTGGTTATTCCAGTAATTTCTGTGAGGACATTTATTGCTACAATGGCATTCTATGGATTTATTGCATATCCGTCTCAATAAATCAATACTATATGGAAATTGCTTTGTGCAAAGGGGTATTGTCATTTAGAAACAGATGAAGACCCTGCCCAAACTGCTTAAACAAAGCTGGAAGAACGGAATTGTCTGGAATGACATTATATTGTGTAGCATTACAGGGATAGTTCAACCAAAAATTCTGTCAAGACTTCTTCTTTCCCTTCTTTTCTGCCCCTCAATTTAATCCATATAGGCGAGACATGATGGCTTTATATTATGAATAGATTTAATTTAGGCTTTTAATCACATTTATCAACAGTTATCAACACACATGCATAGAGCAAATCAAATCTAGTAAACGGAAAGCTCAAACATGCTTTCTTGATAAGCGAGAATCAATGAAGTTTATTTTTGCGTATCACGGAAGCACGTTCAAGCTTCCTGCAAGAACCAGCGAGGTTTGTTCTTGCGCGACAAGCAAGTACTGTTAAGCTTCAAGTTTAGCATATTTGTTTGATCAACTTTTATATGTGAATAAAAGACCAAATTAAATCTGTTCATCGTTTAAAGCGAGCATGCCTCTTCAGACGACTTGGATTATGCCACTCGATTCATATGGACTACCTTACAATGTCTTTTACAATTTTTTTAAAGCATCAACATTTTGGTTGAATAGACTTTCAATGGAGGACAGCAATATCTCAGGTTTCATGAACAAATATCTTCATTTGTGGTTCGAAGATGAACAAAAGTCACAAAAAATGAACATGGATTTGGAACGACATGGGGGTTTTTGGGTGAACTATCACTGTAAAGTTTGTTTTCACTGGAATTAATGGAATAGCCAAACTCGTTAATTAGAAGGTGGTTTCCATACTTTTGCCCATATAATGCAGCATCTCATTCATCTCAGCCAATTTAAAAATAATAACATTGAAAATTGAGACTAAAGATATAAAACATCTCTCTGGAAATTGTGGATGGTAAATATTACAGGTAAAGTAAATGAACAAAAGCCATGAGTAGAAATGAAAAGTTGGAACTGAGCTGAATCTATGCTACTTTTTGACTGTTACATCTGACAGCTCCACCACCCTCAATCCTGAGATCTGAATGGCCAGTTCTCAAAATGGCACTGGGAAAGCAGACATTAGGGTTTTGAATGAACTTTTGCATCTATCTATGGCGTGACTCTAACAGGTCTTCATTTTCAAGATCCTTTGAGTGCTCTGATCAGGGGACAATCCTAGCACTGAAGTTTGCGAATACTGCGGGAAATTCTCTTAAACTCCCGCTGACCCTTCTGCCAGCGCTTCAGTGATGTGATGACTAAATGTCCATCCATCTTCTGGCCCATCACCAGATAAGCAGCGTTGATGTCATTCATTTCGTCGCACACACACTGAAGACCATCTTTCAGCCAAAGCACTGTCTTCTTGAGGTCACGCTCAGTGACGCCACCATTTAGCTTGTAGATAGTCTTGCTCTTGGTTTCTGGAATGATCTTTGTGTCGCCATTCATGTAGGAGATCTCCTTGACTTTGATCTTTAAAGCTAGTGAGTGAATATTATTGAAGGTTGAGGACAATGGATATAAACAACTGCTTAAATTCATTGCAAACTATATATATATATATATATATATATATATATGTGTGTGTGTGTGTGTGTGTGTGTGTGTGTGTGTGTGTGTGTGTGTGTGTGTGTGTGTGTGTGTGTGTGTGTGTGTGTGTGTGTGTGTGTGTGTATACAGTTCAAGCATTTTTCAGTTTATACAGTAAATCAGTGTTTGACTTTGTAAAGAAAAATGCAGACACTGCTATTTTTTTGAACAGCCTAATATTCCTTTTTCTTCACTTTCTATAAAGTAATAACAAATTTGATACATTTTTCTTCATGTTTTGATTTAGAATAGAATGTGCAGTGTTCCCAATGCATTTATGTATATTGAAATTTAAACAGACTGCTATTATTTTGAACACAACTGTATAACCTTTTGGTTTTTCTGAACACTTAAAAATAAACGTTCCTCAGTAATTCTTTGCAGATCATTTTCTCATTTTCACATAGTCTGCTGAAGAGTATTAAGATGTCTGAGAGTCCATCTTAAGCCAGCGAAGAACAGTAAAACAGCCTTTGCTGGTTTAAGCAGGGTTTTCAGCAACTATATGGTTTTTTGGAGAACTTTTTTTTTTTTAAAGGTTCTTCAAGTTTTTGATCTCTTTAAAGCACCAGATGGTTTTCAAAAGAACAAGAAAACAAAAAGTCCCTTGTGGAAATTAAAGGGATAGTTCATGTTAGCTCACCCAAAAATGAAAATGCTGTTATGATTTACTCCTGTATGCATTTTGTTCTTTTGTAGAACACAAAAGAAGGAATTCTGAGAAATGTCTCATGGCCAGTTTTTTTCTTCTTATTCCCCATACAATTAAGTCACATCAAGTGTTGTTTTGGACCCCAGTTGCTTTCATTTTATAGGAAAAAAGGAGTTGAAATATTATACAAAATATCTTATTGTGTGTTCTGCACAAGAAAAAAAAGAAAGAAAGTAATACATGTTTGAACATGAGGGTCAGTTAATGATCTTAATTTTTGGGTGAATATGGCTCATATATAGCAGGCTGCATCACCCATTTAGGTAATAAGAAACCTTTATTTTTAATAAAGCAGAGATACCGCTACATTAGCTAATTCAGATGCTTAAAGCAAACATAAAACATACAGTATCCTTACCGAAGTCATTTTTGCACAGGCTGTCCACAATTTCATTGTCATTCTCAGGCTTTTCTTTGCAGGCATCACACACCTTTGGAACTGAACAAAAAAAAAAAAAAGAGAAAAAATATCAACATATCAATAAAGGTAAAGGAGATGCATCTAAAAAGTGACTTAAACTTTCATACCTTCCTTGGTAACTGGCACTAAGGCATCTGCACCAGCGGGTGGTATGCACAGGTCATTATCCAGAGGGAAGCGATCGCAGTCCAGCATGTCCGGCCAAGGAAACCCAAAAGCGGCCATCACTGGAGCGCAGCCGCTCTTCACGTTCTCACACAGTGACCTGCACGGCTGAATCGTCTCGTCCAGATCATCCAGACACACCGGAGCGAACAGAGAGCAGAGAAACTTCTTGGTGTCCGGATGGCACTGTTTCTGCACCAGAGGGGTCCAGGAAGATGCCTGCTGCAGAACCTCGTTCATGGTTTCGTGTCCGAGGAGGTTAGGCAGACGCATGTCCGTGTACTCGATGTCATGGCACAGGAGCAGGTTTGCAGGTATGGGTTTGCAGTTGCTCTTTTTCTGAAAGAGCTCTGGCTGATCAAAGGCGTATAATCCATGAAGCGCATCCAGATATCCAGGTAAGGTAAGCGTAACCAGCAGTGCCAGATACGCGCGCATCTTTATTTCAGTTTTGCGGAGACAGAAGTCTTACGAGGTGTTATGGATAACTGAATTCTCTTCTGTGCCAACCTGTTCTCTTAGGAAAGTCTGGGCGGAGCGAGAGAAGGCGCTCAGATGTCCACAGTTGTTGCGCTGTTTCCTGCATTTGATTTCACAACCTAGTTAGTTAGATGCACACCTAGACATCGCTTTTGGTCATCGAATGTTCGAACGGCGAAATAAATTCCTGCATTTGTGAAAAATGTTTCCTCCCAACCAACGAAAGCATGTTCTAAGAACGTTTTGCTAACAAATGTTATAAAAACGTTAGGCTATTTTCTGTTCTATGTAGCCTACGTTCAAAACGGACCCAAACCTTACAAAAAGATTATTCAAGCGCGCTATTCTTCTTCATCTTCATCTTACAAACTAGAAGTATGTATGGCCTAAGATTTTTACTTTTTATGTACTTTTCAGACATATAAAACAAAATTATACAAGTGGCTTATTCTTCTTTTTGTAGCCTACTTCTATTTCATAAGAAACACTTACAAAAAAATTAAAAAAAGGTTAAAAAAAGTTTTTTTTTTTTTTTTTGCAGTGATGTCATTGGGTTCCCCAAAGAACCTTTCAGTGAACAGTTTTCATGGAACCATATAAGCTAACAAAGAGCCTTTATTTTTAAGAGCAGATTGTTAAATGGTTAGTTCACCCAAAAATTAAAATGCTGTCATAATTACTCACCCTCATGTTGTTCCAAACCCGTAAGACTTTCGTTCATCTTCAGAAAACAAATGAAGATCTTTTTGATGAAATCTGAGAGCTTTCTGACCCTTCATTGACAGCTACACAACTATCAATTTGAGGCTTCAAAAAGTTTATAAAGAGATCGTAAAACTAATCCATATGAATTGAGCGGTTAAATCCAAATTTTCTGAAGAGACACAATCGCTGTATATGATGAACAGATTGAATTTAGGCTTTTATTCTCATATAAACATTGATCAGTGCTCAAAAGTGCTGCGTAACACGAGAACGAACCTCATTGGTTCTGGCACATCAAGCAAACATGCTTGAGCTTCCGTTTACCACAACTAATGTGTGAGTTGATGAATATTTAAATGTGAATAAAAGCCTAAATTCAATCTGTTCATCATATGTGTCTCTTCAGAATATTTTGACTAAACCACTGAATTCATATGGATTAGTTTTTTTACGATCTCTTTATGAACTTTTTTGTAGTAGTTGCGTAGCTGTCAACAGAGGGGCAGAAAGCTCTCAGATTTCATCAAAAAGATCTTCATTTGTGTTCCGAAGATGAACGAATGTCTTACGGGTTTGGAACGACATGAGGGTGAGTAATTAATGACAGGATTTTCATTTTAAGGTGAAGATTTACATCGACTTATTTAAATGACTTGATGATGATGATGATGATGAGGATTATGATGATAAAGCACTTACACAGTCATATTACTATGACCATATTTCATATGAAAATATGCAAGATATCCATTCTCTTTTCTTTTCAAGTGATCAATTGATTTATGAGTTGCTGTAAGGCTTTCATTTGGTAGGTGCATAATTCATATTCTTTGGTGAATGATTCTTTGGTCTTTACCCTTTTCACACTCACGGTCATCTGTCATCATTAAGGCACAATATGAGAAGTTCATAAGTTTATACAATATGGCTAACATTTTTCATCTAGCTATATATATGTGTGGGCATGTGTGTGAAGTGAAAATGAGAAAGAATGAGAATGATGGAGAAAACAAGAGAAAGAGAGCTGTTGAGTGAAACTGAACTCCTGCAATAGATCTGGTTCCTGCTTCATTCATCACTCTGTACGGTCCAGTTTTAAGCCACTGAGTGGGTCACACAAACAAACCCTTTCTCATCTCAAGACAGCCTCCCCCCCTCGTCCCTCTAGAGCTAAAGGAAGCTTAGAGTTGACAGCGACAATTCTGAACCACATAATTTGTTAAGTGAAGACAAAGGTTCTTTATAGTGGAAAAAAGGTTATTTTTAGATTATTAAAATGTTCTTCACACTAAGAAAAAATGTCCATCACTAAATCAAAATCAAAATGCCATCTCTGCAAAAATCATTTTGAATCCTTTTTTAAGAGTGTATAAAGAACCTTTTGTTGAATGGAATGGATCCATGGATGTTTAAGGTTCTTCATGGAACCATGTAGATGCCAATAAAAAACATTATTTTTAAGAGTGCATTGTAATGGTCTGGGTGCATGTTATTTTAAGACCCATGTTTAGGGTTTCCTCAAGTCTTGCATTTGTGAGGAGAATGACGAAGGCAAATATATGCTGTGCCATTCTGTTCCGGTTTATGCCTTAAAACAAAAAAACAATTGTTAACGGCAACCTGTGTCATGTGGATCAACACACTATAGGTTACAGTATGTAGCATTGTTAAGACACATTTTTTTAGATCTGTCTTGTCACCAGGTAACTGAGTAACAGTTTCTCCTGAAGTCCTTGTGGAGAAATTCCCCTAAGGCTTCTAAAGGTCATAGGTTCAGAGGCCCCCATTAAATACAGGTTAGCTGCTGGGGTTTCCCTTCTTTGGGATCCTGCTGGGAAGAAGTAGTCATTTAAAGGCTTGTTTCAAGCTGTAAAGTGATAGCCCATGGTCTCTATGACGATAAGACAAGTTTTGCTCTCTAGGAGATCTGTGTCCTCCATTTGCCCTTTTGTTGTGCTTATGTTGTGTGTATGTGTCAATATTTGTCTGTCTAGCCAGAGTAGAGAGGTTACTAATATTGATTAGATACCAGATGGTGTCTTCTAAAGTTTGGATCATTCAGGGTCTCATTTTTATGAGCATTACCGACAATGCAGTTTTTTTGTTTTGTTTTTTTATCAGTGAAACGGTTCTTATTTACAATCAAGTGTTCAGGTGTTGAACAGTCTAACATCAACTGCTTTAACTAAACCTTGTGTTAGACAGCTTAAAAACTGGTTTAAATAAATTGAAATATCAGTGTTGCTGGTTTAATAAATCTCCTTTCACCAAAATTACATAATGTTTACAAAAATCATGGTGAAATTTCATGGTGAAGCTTGAGTTTGATTTAAAAATGGTTTCTTATCAGATTTACTCAATGCTTTTGACCCTAGAGCCATTCAGAATTGAATTAATAATGTCTTTTAACTCTTTCCCCGTCGTTGACGGAATTTTCCAAGTGGTGCTCACTGCAGGGCCAAATGACCAGCTCCACCCCCTCTCTGGACGTCATGGGTTGAGCTATAGTCCAGCTCCACCTCTGTGGATCTAATGGGTGGAGGGAAAGAGTTATGGGCAGGGTTAGGGTGTGGATGGACCTTGCTTATGCACATTGTATTATTTGAAAGAGTCTATTTATACTATTGTAAATAGCTCCGCCCACATATCTGGTTGGGCCAAACAAAACTACTTTTAGCAATAGTGTAGGGATAAGGCGCATCATAGAAGCTTTTGACGATAACTGACCAGAGTTCGAATTCGCCTTTTGCCGAACTCGCTTTACTCCCTTTTCCCATCACATATCGGACTGGAAAGGCATTTATTTCCAATAAAAATGAAGAAAATATTAGAAAAGTGTAAATAAAGTGTCTAACGTGTGTTTAATAATAAAGTGTTTATCGGTTAGGGGTAGATGTAGGGAGGGCTTTATTGTCCCAATAAGGCGGCATCCATTTAACAATTGTAATAGCCTAAATATAATAATTTACTCTATACACTTGCATGCTATTTAATGTACAACAACACTGAGCTGCAAATAGTAGGCTATCTGTCTCTATTTATAAGTAGCCTATAAATAGCAACTATTTACACAATGCAAAGAAAATACTGCCATAAGAAAATATTTTTTTTACATAGAGTAAATAGAATCTATCGCTATTTTCATTTAGTGTACAAATCTATTGCTACTTAAACTAAGCGTAAATAGCATCTATCTCTAAGAAAATATGCTACTGTAAATAGAATCTATTGCTATTTAAACTTAGTAGCATATATTTGAACTTAGTGCAAATAGCCGCTGCCAAAAAAAGAATGCATGAAGCTTGAATAAAACGGGTTATTATGTTTAAATGAAGAGGCTTTGTTGCAGGTTGAGATATTCATACAACAAAATATTCTGGGGGCCATGGAAGTTTTTTGAAAATGATCAAAGATGCTGGTGGTAGCTGGCAACATTCTTTAACTTGTGGGGAAAGAGTTGAAATCCAGAAAATAAGATGCTGCAATTGGAATTTGAACATAAGTAAAAATAAAATGTATTGAAATTCTCAAAAAATTTATATTTGTTCATTCTCATTGCTAGAAAAACAGTTTGTCAAGACAAACTTTGAATGTTAGTTTAACAAAGACTTGCTTGAAAGTTCTTTGTGGAAAAAGGTTTAAAGGCTTGAAGTGTAAAAAATGAAAATGATGCCATAATTTACAGTATTCACCCTTATGATGTTCCAAACCTATATGACTTTCTTCGGTATTTTATATTAGTTATTAGTTGTTGTTGTTGTATTTTCAATACAAAGAAACTTGATGGTCACCAAAATAGTTTGGTTCAAAATATCTTTTGTATTCTGCAGAAGAAATGCCAAGAAAAGTATCCTATTAACTTTCCTAAACTATTTAAAAGTGTATGCTTAACAAACAGAGATAATTAACTACTAATTAACAACCAATTAAAAAATGTAACCTGTGATGTTAAGTGATTGCTAGTTCGTCTCCAAAAGGAACAAGCCAAAAAGATTAAAGATTGAATATGTTTTAATAAACAAAGTATGGCTAAAGCTATAACACAGTTGCAACCATCTGACATGATATTTTTTAAATACATATTTCTTTTTAAAAATGTATGAAATGTTATTTTCATATGTGTAGCATGAATTGTATGTATTAGTCTTTGGTCAGTTGTGTTTCTCCTTAGAGTCAGTGCAGGGTTAAAAGCTGTCTTCGGACCAGTTTTGAGATATAACCTTCACCTTCAGCCTTCATAGCTGACAGGAGGTTCTCATTAATGTGCCCATGAGAAAATGAGAGCCAGCTTGCAGCAGTTCAGCATCTTACATCTGTACCTCTCTAACCTATGCGTCTCTCTCTTTCTTTCTTTCTTTCTTTCCTCAACTTCCAACTGC